AGTGAACTGCAGCACAGGCTCAAAGTCTGTCAAGGGGATTTGCAGTTCAAGTCCCAGCTGCTCCAGTTCCGATCCAGCTCTCTGCTGATGCACCTGGGAAAGGAGTGGAAGGTGGCCCAAGTGCTTGGGCCCTACACCCACGTGGGAGACCCAGATGAAGCTCCTGGCTCCTGGCTTCAGATCAGCGCGGCTCTGGCCATTGAGGCCATCTGGGGAGTGAGATGGAAGACTTTGTCTCTCCCTCTCACTGTCTGTAACTCTGCCTCTCAAATAAATAAATAAATCTTAAAAAACAAACATTTATCTAGGGCAGTACCCCTTGTGTTCCTGGGGAGATGAGTGTGTGTCCCGGGGTAGCAGAGACTGTTGAATACCCTGAAGCCTTGTCTAGGGCGGTGGGGAGGGGCTGGACTCTGCGCTCGCTCGCTCTAACTCTGCCTTCCAAGTAAAATAAATCTTTGAAACAGAGAGAAGCGAGTCCTGACAGGTGAGGTCAAATCGCGCTAAGACGAGCTGCTGATTAGCGCCTGCTGTGTACTCATCACGCAGCAGTGTGACTGAGCCAGATGTGGGGTGCCAGTCGCATGGGACGGACGTCAAGGCCAACCTGGTGGTGGTGGTGGTTCCTGCTTCCTTTGAAACACTGGCACACGTTTAGCAGTTCAGAACATGCCTTCTGTGACAAGTCGCTGTGTGCTCCCCTGAGAGCAGTGTCTGTTACCTTTCCTCCTTGCTGGGCAGAGGCAGGCTCCCCAGGGACACCTGTCGCTCAGGCAGCCGAGCTGTCCCTGTCACAGGGTGATGTGCTGGGACCCACAGCCGTCTGAGCCCCGGGCTGCTGCTGCTGCTTGCTTGTCTGTAAGCACCTCCAAGGGTGCTGGTAGGGTGCTGGAGGCAGGTGGTGGTCACAGAGCCACACTGTGCAAGCCTTGGCCCAGGGTGCTGTTGACAAGGATGGTGGCAGGCCAGATGTGTCTCCCTAGGAGGCCCAGACTCTGAGCCGTGCCAGTAACCCCAGAGAGACGCAGAGTCAGCAGAGAGGGGTGCTGGCTGCCAGGGATCACTTTACAGCCCAAAGGGAGGGGGAAGGAAGCCCCAGCCTGAGAACGCAAGGTGCCTCATCCATGCAGACAGTGTTTCAACAGTGACCAAAGACCAAGTGCAGATGGGTGGCCGCAGCGTCTGTCGGATGCCGGGGAGGTTCCGAAAGAGGACAGAGCGGACAGGGCCCAGGCCTGCAGCACACACCATCTCACCAAGCGCATCTACTCTGAAGGCTTCCTAGGGGTCAGGAAGGATGTGGAGATCGGACCGGCGATGCCGGGGAGCGGGCAGAGTCTGGGAAGTATTCTCCACGCAGAACTCTCGGTGTGGCAAGTGCGGGGCAGTGGTCACAGCTGAGCGTCAGGGCAGCCACTGGCACAGCGCAGCATCCACCTGAGATGCAGGTGACTCGTGGTCACTGAGCTGAGCTGCTGCGTGTGCGGCGCTTGGCTTTGTACATTCCCGTGGCCTTCTGGGAATTGTCATTAAATCCGCACAGATGGAAGCAGTGTCGGGCGCGATGGCGTGTTTGGCACCACACCTCCACCTCCTGGAGACCGCTTGCTCCCGGGGCTCTTGCTCCCCTTGACTGTCAGGTATGAGCTAACATGCCTTCAAAAAAAAAAAAAAGAAAAAAAGAAATTAATGTGAAAGGTTCAGTCACTGACTTGTCCCTTGAAAAACCCATTTACTTAAAAACACTCAGGGGGCTGTTGGGGCACGCAGGTTAAGCCACTGCTGGCGATGCTGGCAGCTCATAGCCGGGGAGCAGCAGCAGGTGGCCACGTGCCTGGGTCTCTGCCCCTATGTCGGAGACCAGGGTGGAGCTCCCGGCTCCCGGCTCCAGCCTGGCCCAGCCCCGGCTGCTCTTGCTGTTTGGGGAGTGAACCAAGAGATCAGAGATCTCACTTCTATCCACAAACACACCTCTGCCCCACACCCCTTTCACAGAAGTTGTTATTTAAAAAAAAAAAAAAAAAAAACTAGCTCAGACCCAAGCTCTCCTCTCAGGACTTTAACCCTTCACACCAGATGTGACTCTCACAAAGCACTTTCCTTCCAGGAGCCCCCATGAGAAGAAGAAGAAGCGGAGGTCACGGTCGCAGACCAAGTCTAAGGCCCGCTCGCCGTCAGGGTCCCCAAGGAAGCAGGCGGCACACCGGCCCGTGACCCATTCGGCACACTCGGCACACTCGGCCCATTCAGCCAGCATCTCTCCTGTGGAGAGTCGTGGCTCCAGCCAGGAGCGCTCCAGGTGACCCCTGACCTCCGGGAGCTTCTCCACAGGGGAGGACGGGGGTTGGCGGGCACTGAGGGTGGTCAGGAGGCCCTGGGGAGTGGGATCCTGGTGTCCTGGAGCAAGTGTCCCGAGCTCAGAGGGAGCGTGCTTGTCAGGAGCCGGAGCCCTGCTGTGGGTGAGGAGCCCCTGAGGCCCCAGGGCGACAGCACAGCAGTGCAGCCCCCAGTCACAGCTGCACCTGCGTCTCAGTCACACCTCTGGAGCAGCCCATGGGGTTTTTCCCTGGGTAAGGGGTAGGACAGTAGCCAGTCCTCGGGATCCATGGCATGCATGTAGAGGACCAAGAGGACCAGGCACTGGGGTCCCGGGGACCCAGAGCTCCTCTGTCAGTAGCCACAAAGGCTGGGGGTAAACCAGCAAGTGCAGCTGATGGGCACCAAGGCATGAAAGCCAGCAGCACTGTCCAGGCACGTGGCTCCTGGGGACAGCAGCCCACGTTGTCGGGGGCTTTCCCATCTGGGGTGCATTTACAAGCACCCAAAGTCAGATGCCCACGCATCCCACTCGCTGGCAGGGCCTTTGGAATGAGCTTCGCTGCGTTTGGGTGTGGGTGCTGGCTCTCCCCAGAGACCCCAGCTCGCTGGAGCGCTTCACAGCCTCGGTGCAGCTCGGGGCATGTAGAGCCCACAGGCGGCCCCGGAGCGCGCACGCACTGAGTGCAGTGAGTCGTGACCCCGGGGCGGGCCGTCTGCAGTGCCTTCTCACTCCCTTTCCATTTGTTCTCTGAATGCTGGTGTAGAGAGCCAGGTGCATTTTGTAAAGTGTGATGGTGCTGGTTTACGGGCACTCCGCTGCGGCCGCCTGGCTGCGGGAGGGAGCTGTGCGGTGCCTGGCACGTGTCTCGGGTGTGTCCCAGCCTCTGCACTCTCTCTCACCAGGGGAGTCTCTCAGGAAAAGGACGGGCAGATCTCCTCCGCAATCGTGTCCTCTGTGCAGAGCAAAATCACTCAGGTGAGAAGGGAGCGTCTGCTCCGCGTCTCTCTGCGCGCGTTGCTCCCTGTCCTCTCACGCCTGCGCTGACACCAGCTGCCCACACTGGGGGGTTGCCGGGGGCCTGGCCCCTCCTGGGTCTCCGTTTCCTGGGCAGCCTCGTCTTCAGCAGCCGCGTGACCTGGAGCCAGGTGCCCTTCTGGGGGCCTCATGGGGCAGCGACGCAGCCTGCGCCCTCGACCCGGCCCTTCAGGTCACGTCAGCGGGTCGAGCCCGTGACCACGACGGCGGCCTCGCTGAAACTGCACTTGAGCTGCCGCACCGCCTCTGCCCTCGGCTGCCTCCGTTGGCGTCGCAGCACCTCTCTCTGCCACCCACGCCAAGTGTCTCTCACCTCGGGGGTTGTCTGGCGCCCAGGTCTGAACTGGACGTTCACGGTTCTCCTCTGTCTCCCCTTGCACAGGATCTCATGGCCAAAGTAAGAGCAATGCTTGCAGCTTCCAAAAACTTACAAACCAGTGCCTCCTGAGACGGCCACCCGCCGTGGGGAGAGCCCAGCCCAGGCATGGCCGAGCGCTGGTGGCCGGTGTTGGGCCCGTAGCCCCGTCCGTGCAGCCGAGGTCGCGGGATGGGGAGGCCCGCCGTGGAGCACCGCCACACCTCACCCTGGGACTCCGTGGACAATGGGTGGTTTTTGTAAATTAATTTTTGATGACATTTTCAGTTTAAGATTTCTGACCAGCAGTCTCTTACCTGTATATTTGTAAATAAGATCATGTTTCTGTGAAAATGTATTATCAAATAAAATGGGAGGAAACCACCTTTTCTAGCTAGCAACTTGGAGACAGTTTCTTCCTTCTCTGCCCACTGGCTTTGTCTTTACCGTTTGTTGTCTATTATTTGAAGCACATGCGTTACCACAGAGGCTGCGGGGTGTATGGGCAGTTGCTGGGCCTGCTGCGGGGTCGGGGGGTGACACCCTCCCCAGCCACTGTGCCTGTCCCTGGCTCCCTGCACTGGCTGCCGTGAAGGGAACGTGCCCCACCCCCACCCCCACCCCCGTCAGCGCAGCCCGTGCAGCGCCTGCTCCCTGTGGGGCTTCCTGAGACCCGGGCGCTTTGGACCTCCACAGATTCTGGCCGCATTGCTGAAAATTGCAGGTTCGTGTGTCACCTGAGATTCCGGCCATTGAGGCCTTGCCTCTTCAGCACCCGCGTGCTGGGCCCCTAAGGTGCTGGTCCTGACACCAAAAATAGGGACCTGCTGACTTGTCCGCATTTTGAGGCTCCGAACATTGCTTTCATCAAATGTTTCAGAACTGGAGCTGAAGTTTTCCTCTTTACAAAGCAGAATCTGGGGGACAGGTGCGTTGTAGTGCAGCAGGTTATGCCACCTTGGGACGCCAGCGTCCCGTTTCAGGAATTCCTAGTTGGAGTCCTGACTGCTTCCCCCCACCTCCCGCTCCGCAGTGCACCCTGGGAGGCAGAGCAGCAAGCACCTGGGTCTGCCACCCACGTGGGAGACCTGGGTGGAGTTCAGAGCTCCAGGCTTCTGCCGGGCCCAGCGTGCACACACACACCCCCACACATGTTCCTCCACCCCCCACCTCTCAAATATTTTTAAAAAAATAATGAAATAGAAAACTTCTGGAGCTCCCACTGGGGCATGCAGTTCCACTCCAGAAACTCCTCCTGTGGCTGATGGGGGCAGGATGTGTGGAACAAAGGGGCCACAGAAGGTGGGCCTGGGCTGGGGCACCCAGCACCGAGGGCAGGAGGACTGGAGCAGCTTGGAAGTGCCGCAGGTGCCCAGGTGGGGCAGAGCAAGAGCCACCCCTGCTCTGCCTGCCCCCTCCCACCAAGGCCCTCCACGTGGCTGCAGGCACGCCACAGGCGGGTGCTTCACACGCCGTACGCACCTGCGCTGCACAGTCGGGGCAGTGCTGTGTCAGCGCTCAGACCCACCTCCTTCCATCCACTGCACGTGGTGTCTGCACCTACACACGCCAGCGCACCCCGCACACCTGCTGCGTGCAGTTGGGCTGCACTGGGGTTTCATTCCCCTTCCCGCTGGTTGCCCCTTGGGTGCTCGTGGTCTCCCTGCCACAGTGAGGATCCTTGTGCAGACACGAGCGCAGGGTCCTGGCGAGAGGTACGCGCACCCCCGGTCTCCACACAGCAGCTGCCTTCTGGAAGGGGCTCCTGGCCAGCAAAATCCGAGTCCTTTTCTACATGCTCCCCAGGACAGTGTAATCTCCAGCGTTTCATCTGCTGCATCAGGGAGACGAAAAGGTCGCATTTTAGTTCCGTTTTTTAAAGGTGAGCAGCTTCTCTTCAGAAATGCGTCTGGTTTTTTTCTGAACTGTGTTGTCTGTTACTGCATTTCTTACAGAATTGTAACTACATATTAAAGATTCTTGATTTGTGTTGTTTATACTTTTATCTCAACTTATTTCTCTTGATTTTGTTCACGATTTTCTAAACATGGAAAAATGTCTTAGTCCTTCACTTTTGTCACGGCTCCTGGGTGCCAGCTCATCAGAACTTGTGCCTGCGGTCAGGCTCTGCGCCATCCCCGTTTGCTCTGAGCCCCTCTGGTTCACGTGAGGGTCCCCTTGTTTAGCTTTGTAGGTGTCCACTCTCAGGGCTCTCATTGAGGGGAAGTCAGGGACCAGACGTGGGCAGGACCGAGATGCCCAGTGGATGCGCCCTCTGCGGACAGCTAAGCCCAGGGGCAGCGGCCTGGACTGACAGGGAACATCTGCTGTGGTCTCTGCACGGTCCCACACTAGGGACGACTCTGTGGGGCACAAGCACACTGGTCTTGCTCACCGGCTTAGGGGTGGGTTGGCTTCAAGGTGCCCTGGGGTCCCAGGGTGACACTGCTGGTGTGGCCTCAGGACCTCGCCGTGAACTGTGGGGGGCAGTCACCCAGAGGAAACATGGCATGGACTTGGTGGGGGGAGGGGGCTGTATGACTTCACATCAGCGGAAGATGGAGGGGGGCTCCACAGTGACCTGCTTTGTATGGGGTCTTCTCGTCCTGAGTTCCTGGGTGGTTGGAGAATCAGTCCAGGAAAAGCCTGGGATCCCCCTGGTCACTGCGCCTCAGACTGCACTCACACACACACACACACACACACACCCCGACCTCTCTGCGTCCCCGGGCTGATTAAACAGCACACCATCCTGTCTGTCATTTGGAATTCTAGGTCAGGCTTTTCACGTGTGTGTGACAGACATTACGCATGATTCTGTGTCACTCCTGAACACTTGAACACTCCCTTCTCTTCCCTCCCCTCCCCTCCCCTCCCAAGAGCATCCTGCTTGCGGATCAACCAGAGAGGTGGCCAAGGGTGTGAGCCCCAGCTTTCATCCTTGGAAAAGTTGGCGCCAGGAACATACCTGGCAAGCGGAGCCGCTCCCCTTTGAGACGACTCCTTCCTGGGGGCCGTTGTTAGGGCACTGCGGGTTAAGGCACTGCCTGCCACACAAGCATCCATGTCTGAGTGCCAGTTCCAGTCCCAGCTGCTCCACGTCCAACATCCCACTAACGTGCCTGGGATGTCACTGGAAGATGGCCCAAGTACTTGGGCCCCTGTCACCCCATGTAGGAGGCCAGGATGGTGCTCCTGGCTCCTGGCTTTGCCGGCCCAGCTCTGGCTGTTGTGGCCGTTTGTGGAGAGCGCCAGTGGACAGAAGGTCAACCATACCCTGTCTTTCAAATAAATAGACCTTAAAAAAAAAAAAAGTTGATCTCCAAACATACACACCCACCTGTTTTTAGCAAGGTTGCTGTTTGGCCAGTCATCCTGTGCTTGGCGTCTCTGTGCCAAGGTCGTGTGTGGCCCAGGCGAGCACCCTGCTCGGTCAGATGCAGCCTGTCCAGGTCTTTAGGCCTTAGCCCTGATGGGAGTTCTGATCCTCAGAACCTGGTGGGAGTGCTGCGAACAAGGAGAGGACAAGAAACATGGGAGTGATGTGCTCGGTGGCCACGTGCTGCCGAGAAGGCTGAAACCTCAGTCGAGGCCGATTGCAGCGGGCGGTTTCCACCGAGTGGGGTTGGTTTGTCTTCAAGAAGCGATCGGTCCTGGTGTCTGCCTGCAGGCTTCCTGGGAAAGCTCCAAGTGCCCTGTTAGGAGCAGAAGCAGATGTTACCCCCTTCGGATCCACACGCAGGAAGTGGTGCCTTGTGTGCCTGCCCCCTTGTGCTTTGGCTATTACGGAATGTCTTGGAATGTCTACGCAGAAAGGGTGCTGACATCGTTTCCCCTGCCGTTGGCACCTTGCAAGAGGGTGCACTCACTGTAATTAGGGAACCAATATTGTCATTAACTGGAATTCTTTGTTTTCGCCTAAGGTCCTTGTTTTACCCTACCTGGAGCTTGGGTCTCCAGAGCCCCCCACCCGCCCCGGCCACTGCTGCCACCACCGCCCAAGGAAGCCTGGGTGCTTTGTATAGCTGAGTGGCACCCCTGCGTGTGGACACCTCTCTGCTGATCAGCCAGGCCTCACACAGGACGGTTGAACACTGCCCTAAGTGATCTCACCCGGTCGTTACTTCTCATGCCTGCACCAACATCTTTGGCCTAAAACAGGGGCGTGTAGCTGGGCAGACACAGCCATGCACCACGAAACCTTCAAAATTCATGTCATTTTTACATTGAACAAACTTTTTTTTTTTTTTTTTTTTTTTTGACAGGCAGAGTGGACAGAGAGACAGAGAGAAAGGTCTTCCTTTGCCGTTGGTTCACCCTCCAATGGCCGCCGCAGCCGCCGCGGTCGTCGCACCGCTCTGATCCGATGGCAGGAGCCAGGTGCTTCTCCTGGTCTCCCATGGGGTGCAGGGCCCAAGCACTTGGGCCATCCTCCACTGCACTCCCGGGCCATAGCAGAGAGCTGGACTGGAAGAGGGGCAACCGGGACAGAATCCGGCGCCCCAACCAGGACTAGAACCTGGTGTGCCGGCGCCGCAGGCGGAGGATTAGCCTAGTGAGCCGCAGCGCCAGCTAAACAAGCTTGTTTTAATATTTACTTTACAGTTAAAAATATGGAAGCCATCTAGGTCACAGGCTGTGGGAAGACAGGCAGGAGGCTCGGCTGGCCTGCGGGTGAGGCTCGCCAGCCCCTGGCAGGAAGGCTCAAAAGTGGACTGTGTACTGACCACTAATGGATTATTTCAAAATAGCTAAGAAGGTTTTTTCTTTTAAGATTTACTTATTTATTTGAAAGTCAGAGTTAGAGAGAGGTCCTCCATCTGCTGGTTCACTCCCGAGATGGTTGCAGGGCTGGAGCTGGGCAGGCCAAAGCCAGGAGCTTGGAGCCTCTAGACCTCCCCTTACGGGTGCAGCCGCCCTGGAAGCTGCACACAGAGCTCCCCGCCCAGTCATTCCGCTCAAGGTCCCATTTCTACGAAGTATTCCGAATAAGCAAGTCCATAAGGAAGGGGAGTGGTGAGCAGACTGGCACAGGACAATGGAAATGTTCTGTAACGGACAGGTACTTGTGCAGCTGTCAGCGTACAGAAACCTTTTCTTTAAATTGTGTGTGTGTGTGAGAGAGAGAGAGAGGCAGAGCAAGGTCTTCCATCCACCACTTCACTCCCCAAATGCTACAATGGCCAGGGCTGATCTGGGTCAAATCCAACAGCCAGGATCTCAATCCAGGTCTGCCTCGTGGGTCATGGGGCCCAAGCACTTGAGCCATCACCTGCTGCCTCTCAGTGTGGCATTAATAAGAAGCTGGACTCAAGAGCGGGGCTGGGCCTTGCACGCCAGCACTCTGATATGGGATGCAGGCATCCTAAACACCATTTAACTGTAGGCCAAATGCCCACCTCCTGAATCCATTTAATTGCAAACTTTAAATGTGATATTTGAATTACAGCTAATAAATATGACATTAAATAAATACAAACAAGAGTTTTCACATACTTTTGCTAAGTTTTTTTTTCTGTGTGATGATTTTTTTTTTTTTTTTGCTAAGTTTTCTATGAATTGCTTACATCCCTTTTCTAATACTTACTGAATTGCTGGTCTTGTTGATTTCAGGAGCCACTTGTATATGAGGGTGATGAGCTCTGTGTGATGTGGGTTGCAAATTCTTTTCCCTTGCTTGTCCATTTCCTGACTTTTTGCCGCCTTCCCCATGATCTCTCAGTCACTCACACCTCCACCTGTGAGACCGCTGGCAGGATTCGCAGGCGGCCCTCGGGATGGTTGGTTTTCAGAGCGTCATGTGATCCCAGCAGACCTCTCTCCAGGACACAGCCCTTCTGTGGGACCTGGGGATCCCGGGGATGGCTGGGAGAACAGGTGCTCCCCGGCTCTCCCGGCTCCCTCCTCCCTGAGGAGCTGACGGAGCACGGCGGCAGCAGGCTCCTCCCTCCTCTTTTGGGTCTTTGGGCTCAGCCCCTGCAGTAAACGTCGCACCAGTTGGGGCCTTTGGCTCGCTGCCGGGCAGTGGAGGGATGGCCAGGGGCCAGGTCACTGCAAAGGTCCCCAGAGCGGGAGTGGCCGTCAGCAGCTGCCAAGCAGTAGAGAAGCCAACAAGCCGAGCGCATCCCATCGTTTCTGCTGCTTCTTTGAGTTCCAGGAAAGGGGATGGGCGGCTCCTGATGAACCCAGCGGGGCCGGGTCAGTGCCCAGGGGAGCCAGGGGCTGCTGCCACGCGAGGCTTGGATGGAGATCCTGGCTCCTGGCTTCCGCCCAGCCCAGCCCTGGCCCTCACAGACATCTGGGGGAGTGAAACAGCAGGTGGAAAATGTCACTCTGTCTCTGTTTCTCTCCACTTCTCAAATACATTGTTTTTTAAGTTTCAATATATTCACAGCTGCGCAGCCACTGGGTATTACAGGACATTTTCATCCTCTGGAAAAGGAGGGGTGCAGGAGGCCAGGTCCTCGGGAGGAAAGGCCAAGGCCTCCGTGACGAGGCCGGGAGGTCGTGGTCTCACCCGGCTCCTGGGTGATTCGGGCCCCAGCGTCCGTGGAGCTGCCGACGATGCAATCCCAGCATGCACCATGTCTGCAGTCTGCAGGGTCTCAGGCCACCAGGATCCCTGGAAAGGGCAGCGCCAGCATCCATTGGTCACGGCAATCCGGAGGGAGGGGCCCCGCCCAACTCGCCTACTTGAAAAGTTGCTCTAATTACAAGTTCATTAGCTATTCAGCGGCACAGCTTGGGGAATGGCAAATGTTGAGACACAGGATATGAGAAAGCCCTTCGGAGGATCTCATGTTCATCGGATTTCAAACTAGAACAGAGGTGCCTTGTGCCCTCCCTCAGAGGGCCCAGGAGCTGTCAGGCCAAGGTGGCGGAGGGGTCCGGGGAAGCCTTGCCCCTTGGAAACTCTCCAGATTCCTTTCTGAAGATGGCAGGTCCTACCCTCTCAAAAAACTGCAAAAACAGACATGTGTGCAATGGCCAGGACCTCTGTGGGCCGCCGCACCCCCGGGAGCCCTGGGCTTGCTGTCCGTGTCCCAGTCACGAGCTGAGCACAGAGCACAGCCGCCCGGCGCAGCGGGTCTGGAGGAAGTGTCCCTGTGCCGGGCTCCTGCCGAGCTCCCTGGAGACATAAATCAGGGTGAACAGTGAGACGGAGAGCAGGGAGGCCAGACGGTGCAATCTACAAGCAGGGGGGCCTGGGAGAGACAGGGTGCAGGGCAGAAGCTGGAGGAGGGAGGGAGGCCACAAACCCCAGGATGAGTAACCGTCCAGGTGCTGCCGGATCGGGGGGCACATCTGTGAGAATGCGCGCTCAGCAGGCCGCACGTGAGTGTTGGGGCGCCCGAGGCTCAGTGCACACGCGTGGTTCTTTCAGCTGACCACGAGGTCCCGGCAGTGCACCACAGGCTCAGCAGACAGGTTTCTGGGTCCATTCCCCGGCACGAGGAACCCGGCTCCTTGGGGGAGTGGCCGAGTCCCGGCTGGAGCACCTCGCAATTCCAAGTGGGGAAATGCCCAAGACACACATCCACCCCAAGGCCCTGTCACAGGGACGAGGATCCAAGGAGCAAAGTCCGCCAGAACAGCCTGAGTGATAATGGTGTACATGGAGGCCCGGGGCTGCGGCCTAGTGGGCCACGCTTCCGCCTGTGGCGCCGGCATCCCAGATGAGCACCAGCTGCTCCTCTTCTGACAACGGCCCAAGCGCTTGGGCTCTTGCACCAATGTGAGAGACCCAGAAGAAGCTCCTGGCTCCTGGCTTTGGAGCGACCCAGCTTTGGCCGTTGCGGCCATGTGGGGGGTGAACCAGTGGAAGGAAGACCTTTCTGTCTCTCCCTCTCTCACTGTCTGTAACTCTACCTCTCAAATAAATAAAAAAAAAATCTTAAAAAAAAATAACATGCATTGGATTTATACAAAGTATAAGATAAATACCAGGGCTGGCTGGCACTGTGACGTCGGGTAAAGCCACAGCCTGCAGTGCTGGCATCCCATATGGGCACAGGTTTGAGTCCCTGCTGCTCCACTTCCGATCCAGCTCTCTGCTATGGCCTGGGAAATCAGTAGAGGATGGACCAAGTCCTTGGGCTCCTGCACCTGCGTGGGAGACCTAGAGGAAGCTCCTGGATCCTGGCTTCAGATAAGCACAGCTCCAGCTGTTGCAGCCAATTGGGGAGTGAACCAGCAGATGGAAGACCTCTCTCTCTCTACCTCTCCTCTTTCTGTGTAACTCTTTCAAATAAATAAAAATCTAAAAAAAAAGAGCCAGCGCCGCGGCTCACTTGGCTAATCCTTCGCCTGCAGCACCGGCACTCGAGGTTTTAGTCCTGGTTGGGGTGCTGATTCTGTCTCGGTTGCTCCTCTTCCAGGCCAGCTCTCTGCTGTAGCCAGGGAGTGCAGTGGAGGATGGCCCAAGTCCTTGGGCTCTGCACCCGCATGGGAGACCAGGAGAAGCACCTGGTTACTGGCTTTGGATCGGTGCAGCACCAGCCATAGCGGCCATTTGGGGGGTGAACCAACAGAAGGAAGACCTTTCTCTCTGTTTCTCTCTCTCTGTCTAGCTCTGCCTATCAAAAAAAAAAAAAAAAAAGACAAATACCATCAGGCCATGCAGGTGTCAGTGACAGAAGTAGTCAGTGACCAGCGAACCGTAGGGAAAGACAAATCCCCATGCAGCACTCCAGGCACCGTGCAGTGCTTAGCGCCAGGGAGTATTCCGAGCGCTGCAGCCAGGTGGACTCCGGAGACAGACAGCGGCAATGTACCAGGCTGGGGACTGTTAGCGCCACCGTCACATACATGATCTGTGCTTGAGCAAAATGTCACTAGGCAGCCGCTGGCCCCTCAAGAAGGTACAGCTCAACCCTACTCCGTGAGGGCTGTGCGGAGGCACCTGGACTCCTTACAAAGAACACCAGCAGGAGGGAGTCACCTGTCGACGGCATGGTCTTCTGAAAACAACCTGACTCTGGGCTGATCACAAGAAAAGAATCAGCCGAGGGACCGTCTCTGAAACACCTGGGCAGGGCAGTCAGTGGGAAACCGGCACAGCCACTGCCAGGTGGAAGTCTGGACTCCATCCGGGTCTCCTGAGTGGGTGGCAGGGACCTAAGTCCTGCTCCCTCCCCAGATGCACGTGAGTAGGAAGCCGGATTGGAAGAGAGGAGTTGGGACCTGAACCCAAGCACTCAATATGGGGTGCCAGCCCCTGCTACACCCATTTTCCTGTAAATCTGAGTTCTGAATTTGGGAGGGTGGGTGTGGCCTTCTGGCTGCTGTGGCTGTGGACAGCCACTTCGCTAGTGGCCGTTTGGGACAGGCATCCCGCTCCCAGGCACCAGAGCTGATCTTCCCAAATGGCCCATGATTGATGGTAGGCCACCCCCTCTGCCGCAAACAGCTGGGACTAGGGAACTGAGAAGCAGCAAAGGCAATATTCGTGGAATTTAATAAGAGATTTATTTCCTTTTTTTTTTTTTTTTTTTTTGACAGGCAGAGTGGACAGTGAGAGAGACAGAGAGAAAGGTCTTCCTTTGCCGTTGGTTCACCCTCCAATGGCTGCCGCGGTCTGCGCACCGCTCTGATCCGAAGGCAGGAGCCAGGTGCTTCTCCTGGTCTCCCATGGGGTGCAGGGCCCAAGGACTTGGGCCATCCTCCACTGCACTCCCTGGCCACAGCAGAGAGCTGGACTGGAAGAGGGGTAACCAGGACAGAATCCGGTGCCCCGACCAGGACTAGAACCCGGTGTGCCGGCGCCACAAGGTGGAGGATTAGCCTAGTGAGCCGCGGCGCCGGCAAGAGATTTATTTCCTTTCGTAAAGAGTGAGCACTTCTGGGATAAAGACACATTACGTTGTCCTAGAAATAAGTAACTAATGGTGCCCAGGTCTCTGGCCCGAGCTTCTGGGTTGACAATGGAATCCACCACGGATCCAAGGAGCCCAAGCAGGAGCAGCAGGGGGTCGGGCTTTGGTCTAAGGGATCTGCAGCTTGCCCCCCAGGGATGCCCAGGAAGCCTGCCACAGAGTCGCACCAGGCCAGCAGTGGGGGCGGCAGAGGAGGACATGGGGAAGGGGGACCCAGAAACACAGCAGGGAGCAGGGGGACAGTGGGGAGCTGTGACACCACGCTGCCAAGGTGAGGGCACTAAAGGCAGGGGGCGCTCTTTGACAGGAAGGGCCTGGTGGCAAAAGCCACACTACCAAGGGTACTGAACCCAAGCGCCCACCCTCACAGGAACGGAGGAGGGAAAGGGGGCCTCCACACAGGAGGACCCCGCCTGGCCCAGGAGAGGCCCGTCTGCATTGCCAGAATTTCAGTGTCTCGGGAGATAAGCCAGCCACAGAAGGGCACACGCTGAGTCAGTGCTGGACGGGGACAGAGGCTCAGCCTGGGAGGATGAGAAAGTCCTGGGAGGGGTGGTGAGGCGCTGCCAACAGCAGCGCTTCTGTGCTCAGCACCGCTGCACTGCACGCTGCACCCTCACTGAAGTAACCGGCTGGGGGCTGGTGGGGCACAGCACACAGGATGCCACACCACACAGAGTGCCTGGGTCCAGGTCCAGTCCCAGCTTCCTGCTAACGCAGACCCTGGGAGGCAGCAGGTGCTGGCTCGAGGGACTGTGTCCCTGTCACCCAGGGGGGAGACCTGGATCGACTTCCTGGCTCCTGGCCTCGGCCATTGTGGACACTTGGGGAACTGAGTCGGTGAATGGGATCTCCCTCTCTCTCTCTGCCTCTCCTTTTCTCTCTGTAACTCTGCCTTTCAAATAAATAAATCTTTTTAAAAAATTTTAAATTTTAAAAGCGTCCAAGTTTGTGTTCCAAAGCCTTCCCACTCCCTGCACGCCAGCCCCACCTCCTCTGAAACGCAGAGGCTGGCTTAGGGCCGTGCCCTCTTCCCTCAGGTGCAGCCTGGCGACGGGCACGTGTTCCGAGACCATCACAGAGAGCTCACACACACGCTGAGCTGGCCACGGCTGTGGGACCAGGTGGGATGTGTGGTGCATTGTGGGGCTGTCGGGTGACGGTGAAGTATTTGCGCACTTCCCTCACCCCACTCAGGCCTTTGCTAAGCCGACCCCTGATTCCTTGTCACAGTCCTCTGACCCTCCCAGCCCCTGCGTCTCCACACTACAGGAGACGCGAGGGCACCCAGGGGCTGGCAGATCAAATCCCCACAAACACACGCTCCCTCTCCCACAGCTCCGAAGGCCAGTGGTCCAGGCTCACCTTGCTGGGTGGGCATCCAGGTGGATCTTCTGCAGGGTCCCAACTTGTGCTTCCTACTGCTGCTCCCCCCGCCTCCTTGAAGAACCAGCAAAAAATCCAGGATTTTCTCCCGATGGGCTTGCCCTGTAGGTGACATTCCCAGGTTGGGAGTAGCACCTAGGTACCTGCAGGGCCACCTCCCTGCACCACATGTCCTGATTCACCCACCCGTTTCTGTCCCCAGCCCTGCACAATAGGGATCTGGGCCCTTGTGGTCTCTGTCGTGCCCAGTGCCTGGCCTGGCCTGGCCCCAGTGCAGGTCTCAGGGCCCAAGGGGGTGCCGTCCTGTGCACATGCGTCAGCCCCTGCCTGCAGCACACACTCCTGTTTCTATCCTTGGCTCTTTGCTACACAAGCATGCTGGGAGGGGAAATGCAGTCCAACATGCGGAGGGGCCTTTGAGCCTCCTCAGTCGTTGAACGCCTGCCCGTCTTGGCCCAAGTCACCTGAACAGACCCCAGCAGAGGTGACAGGGACTCAGGAGGAAGTGCTCCCTAGAGCCTGGGCCAAGGGGACGGGGAGGCCAGAGGCTGAGGGTGGTCTCAAGACCTACGGACAGGGGCCTGCACTGTGCTGGAGTGGTTAAGCAGCCTGCCTGCACGGCCAGCATCCCATGTGGGTGCTGGTTCACGTCCCAGCTGCCCCACTTCTGATCCAGCTGCCTCCTGATGTGCCCGGGAAAGCAGCAGAGGCTGGCCAGAGTGCTTGGACCCCTCCCACCTATGTGGGAGACCTGGCTGAAGCTCCTGGCTCCTGGCCCAGCCACTGCAGCCATTTGGGGAGCAAACCAGCAGGTGGAAAGATGGAAGATTCTCTCTCCCTCTCTCTCTCTTTCAAAAACAAAACAACATGGACAACATCAGTCACCCCAAGGCCGGGGTACAGGTCCTTCCCGTTCAGGTCAGGGATGGACGCCCTCGGGAGCGGTGGGTTCCCACAGCCCACGGCTGCAGGACAGAGGACAGGTGCGGGAGGCAGCAGGACGTGACGCAGCTCAGGTGGGCTGCTCCACCTCCCCCTCTCACCTGAGCCGCCACCGTGCTCTCCCGCGCACCTTTCTCTCTGCTTTGCACACCCCGCCTCCCCCACCACCACAAACACACCGCGGCACACGCTCCCAACGTGGGCCACGATTCTTCTAGCTCAGTAAACCCTTCCAGGGAGACTCTAACAGCTCCCACGAAAGTCTCACGGCTGCTTCTCCTGGGCCTGAGGAGGGGCCCAGCTCCAGGGCGAGGGCCAGCATCACTAAACCCCTGGACGGTGGGACCCTGGGCTGCAGGGGCATTATCTGAAGAAAGCTGAAAGTGCTGAGGTCAGAGCTAGGGCAACTGGGTGGCTCGAGGGCTCCGCTGACATGCCCCAGGTGTGTGGGTCACACGTGGTAAATGCGTGGTCACTATCTCCTGTTCTTTTTCCTGATTTCCTGTTCTTACAATTTTCACTCAGTCTGAGCGGCCTGTTGGTACCATGGGTCTAATCCATTCTTCCCAGCCTTGATGTGGCATTCCATCCGTTGGGAATTCCCAGTGTGGTCAGTTCAGGGTGGCCACCAGCTTACAGAGCATCTTGGTGGCCCATTTCCCCACGGTGGGACACGGGATCCGCAGGTCGGACCCCAGCCCCCAGCCATGCCCTCACCAGGCCCGCCGGGTGGTACACCGGGCCCTGGCTCAGCCAGCCTGCTGCAGACAGGCAGTTTCTGAACTGCTTCCCACTACAAATCATTCAGCAGCATTCTTGTGGTGTACCCCTCCACGAGCTTTCTTGTGCAAGGATGGGAACATTTTTCTAGCACAGATTCCCAGAACTCTGGGCCCTAAACTATGTTTCTTGAATGTTGACACTGCTCCCAGCACCTTCCAGAAGGCTGAATCAGCAGCCAGAGTCCCGGCTGTGGGGGTGTGCGGTGTGCTCCGCGCTGCCAGTCTGATGGGGTAAAGCTGCATCTCAGTGCTAATGCCAGGCTGGTGAGAGGCTGGAAGGGCATCCTGCAGCATGGTGCCATGCAGCCCCACCACGAAGGAACACGTGCCTGGCACCAAGCCACGCATCTGTGTAGTGCACCAGCCCCTGCCTGGATCTGAGAGGCAGAGAGAGAGAGAGAGAGAGAGAGAGAGAGAGAGAGAGAGAGAGGCAGAGACAGAGAGAGGTCTTCCACCTGCTGGTTCACTCTCCAAATGACCACAATGGCCAGGGCTGGGCCAGACTGAAGCTAGGAGCCAGGAACTTCTTCCAGGTCTCCCACGAGGACAGCAGGGGCCCAGGCCCTTAGGCCATTCTCTGCTGCTTTCCCAGGTGCGTCAGCAGGGAGGTGGATCGGCCTGCCTATGAAGTCTTTTCTAGTGTTCATCTGGCAGCCTAAGCCCCTGTCATTCAAATCTGGTAAACAGCCGCCTCCCTTCACTGCTGATCAGCCCTCTGTGAGGCCGGCATCCTGCTACTTGTCCTCTCCCCGTACACAGTGCCTTCCACAGTCCCCCAGCCAGGGTTCCCTTCTGAGTCTCCAGTGCAGTTAGACTTCTGTTATGTAGTGGGCTCAGCCAACACAAACTGTCATCCTTGCTCCTTGACCCAGCCTTGCCTGCCATCCACTCTCCTGTACTCTACCCTCAGCACCTCCAAATCCCTTTAGAAAATCTCTCCCAGCCTAGGCATCTCACAGACCGCACGATCAGTTCAGGCATGGACACACAGCCCAAATGAGCTAATGAGAGACAGCCTTGGGACTTGGTCTGGAGAAAGACAGTGTCTCTGGCTGGACTTGGGATGTCATTGTCGCCGCCCCACACAGAGACGGGGAGAGAGAGGAATCAGGTGCTAAGCTTTTGCTGTGCAGCCTGATGCAGCCTTGCCTGATGTTATCTGCTCGGGTTGTCCCAGTTTAGTGAACTCAAAATTCCTTTCCTTAACTAGAATTCATTTGAGTTGGGTCTCTGCCCTCCTGACGCACTTGATCAAAGCTCAGAAATGCCAGGGTTCTGTGGGGCATGGGACCTGGAGGAGTCCACATGGTGGCCTGAAGCAGCTGCAGAACCTCCACACCCCAGAAGGGGCTCCTGAGGTGCAAGGGCAGCAGGGACATGTGGAGCCAGAGCCACAGCTGTAAGGAGGGGGCTCTGCCCGGAACCGGCCTTCCCAGAGTGGAGGGGGCCCACCCTCAGACAGGGGAGTATGGCTCTGGAAGCACTTGAGCCTCAGTGTCCCTGTCAGTAGAATGGGACCTCAATCTTCACAACACAGCTCGGGGGAGGGGCTGGAGAGGGAAGCAGCTGGGTGTCCTTCCCCCACTGGCCGGCTCTGTGATCCCACCACAGGTCACTTCTCCAGTCCTCAGTTTCCTCATTTGCAAAATGAGAATCACGGTTTCCACCTCATAAAAGGATATGAGAGGGCCGGCCCCACGGTGTAGCTGGTAAAGCCGCCGCCTGCAGTGCCGGCATCCCATATGGGCACAGGTTTGAGTCCTGGCTGCTCCTCTTCCGATCCAGCTCTCTGCTATGGCCTGGGAAATCAGTGGAAGATGGCCCAAGTGCTCAGGCCCCTGCACCTGTGTGGGAGACCTGGTAGAAGCTCCTGATTCTTGACTTCAGATCAGCACAGCTCTGACTGTTGCAGTCATCTTGGGAGTGAACCAGTGGATAGAAGACCTCTCTCTTTCTCTCTCTCTCTCTCTCTGTAACTCTTTCAAATAAATAAATAAATCTTTAAATATATATATACACACATATATACATATACATACATATATATATATATATATATATATATATATATATATATGAGGGGCCCATGCTGTGGCATAGATGGTAAAGCCACCACCTTCTATGCTGGCATCCCATATGGGCACCAGTTCAGGTCCCGGCTGCTCCACTTCTGATCCAGCTCTCTGCTGTGGCCTGGGAGAGCAGTGGAAGATGGCCAAGTCCTTGGGCCCCTGCAGCCACGTGAGGGACCTGGAGGAAGTTCCTGGCTCCTGGCTTCGGATCGGCCCAGCTCCGGCCATTGCGGTCATTTGGGGAGTGAACCAATGGATGGAAGACTTTTCTCTTTCTCTCCTTTCTCTCCCTGCCTCTAACTCTGCCTTTCAAATAAATAAATAAATCTTAAAAAAAAAAAAAAAAAAAAAAAAAAAAAAAAAAAAAAAGGATAGAAGTAGTAAAGCCATACATGAAGGCATTTCAAAAAGTTCATGGAAAATGGAATAAAAAGATGTTTATTTGGGGGTAAAGAAACATTGAAATCATGCATAGTTGCAGATTTCACAATACACATTTTCCTTAAACTTTCTGAAGTCCTGTGGCATGTAAGGTGCTGAGCATGGTGGGGTACACGCCTAGCCCCCCTCCCAAACGCAGCCCCGTTGGTGCTTGCCCCCCCACCTGCCGCGACCACAGACCTCCGGTGGAGCCACACTGCTTGGCTTCCAGGCTCCCATCTCCGTCTCCCCAAATGACCCCCACCCAGGTTTCTGCAACTCAGGCCTCCCTCAACCATCCCAGCCCCCACTCTGAGCCCCAGTCTGAGCCCTCTCCTCAGCTCCCTTGCTCAGACTCGCCGCCAAACTCACCCTCTCCTCAGAGGGGAACCCCCTTCTGACCCCATCCCCCCTCAGACCCCAACCCCCTCAGACCCCATCCCCTCAGACCCCATCTCCCCTCAGACCTCGACCCCCTCAGTCTCCAACCCCCTCAGACCCCAACCCCCTCAGACCCCATCCCCTCCTCAGACCCCAACCCCCTCAGACCTCGACCCCCTCAGACCCCAACCCCCTCAGACCCCGACCCCCTCAGACCCCGACCCCCTCAGACCCCAACCCCCTCAGACCCCATCCCCCCTCAGACCCCGATCCCCTCAGACCCCATCCCCTCAGACCCCAACCCCCTCAGACTCCAACCCCCTCAGACCTCAACCCCCTCAGACCCCGACCCCCTCAGACCCCATCTCCCCTCAGACCCCGACCCCCTCAGACCCCGACCCCCTCAGACCCCATCCCCCCTCAGACCCCGACCCCCTCAGACCCCGACCCCCTCAGACCTCGACCCCCTCAGACCCCAACCCCCTCAGACCCCGACCCCCTCAGACCCCATCTCCCCTCAGACCCCGACCCCCTCAGATCCCATCCCCCCTCAGACTCCAACCCCCCTCAGACCCCGACCCCCTCAGACCCCGACCCCCCCTCAGACCCCGACCCCCTCAGACCCCAACCCCCTCAGACCCCATCCCCTCCTCAGACCCCAACCCTCCTCAGACCCCGACCCCCTCAGACCCCATCCCCCTCAGACCCCGACCCCCTCAGACCCCGACCCCCTCAGACCCCGATCCCCTCAGACCCCGACCCCCTCAGACCCCATCCCCCCTCACACCCCATCCCCCTCAGACCCCATCCCCTCCTCAGACCCCAACCCCCCTCAGACCCCAACCCCCTCAGACCCCAACCCCCTCAGACCCCATCCCCCCTCAGACCCCAACCCCCCTCAGACCCCAACCCCCTCAGACCCCGACCCCCCTCAGACCCCGACCCCCTCAGACCCCGACCCCCTCAGACCCCATCCCCTCCTCAGACCCCAACCCCCTCAGACCCCATCCCCCCTCACACCCCATCCCCCTCAGACCCCAACCCCCCTCAGACCCCGACCCCCTCAGACCCCGACCCCCTCAGACCCCAACCCCCCTCAGACCCCGACCCCCCTCAGACCCCATCCCCTCAGACTCCAACCCCCTCAGACCCCGACCCCCTCACACCCCGACCCCCTCAGACCCCGACCCCCTCAGACCCCATCCCCCCTTAGACCCCATCCCCCTCAGACCCCGACCCCTTCAGACCCCGACCCCCCTCAGACCCCGACCCCCTCAGACCCCATCCCCCCTCAGACCCCGACCCCCTCAGACCCCAACCCCCCTCAGACCCCGACCCCCTCAGACCCCGACCCCTTCAGACCCCGACCCCCTCAGACCCCATCCCCTCCTCAGACCCCAACCCCCCTCACACCCCATCCCCCTCAGACCCCAACCCCCCTCAGACCCCGACCCCCTCAGACCCCGACCCCCCTCAGACCCCAACCCCCCTCAGACCCCATCCCCCCTCAGACCCCGACCCCCTCAGACCCCAACCCCCCTCAGACCCCGACCCCCTCAGACCCCGACCCCCTCAGACCCCGACCCCCTCACACCCCGACCCCCTCAGACCCCGACCCCCTCAGACCCCGACCCCCTCAGACCCCATCCCCCCTTAGACCCCATCCCCCTCAGACCCCGACCCCCTCAGACCCCATCCCCCCTCAGACCCCGACCCCCTCAGACCCCGACCCCCTCAGACCGCAACCCCCCTCAGACCGCAACCCCCTCAGACCCCGACCCCCTCAGACCCCAACCCCCTCAGACCCCAACCCCCTCAGACCCCGACCCCCTCAGACCCCAACCCCCCTCAGACCCCGACCCCCTCAGACCCCATCCCCTCAGACCCCAACCCCCTCAGACCCCGACCCCCTCAGACCCCAACCCCCTCAGACCCCATCCCCCCTCAGACCCCGACCCCCTCAGACCCCATCCCCCCTCAGACCGCAACCCCCCTCAGACCGCAACCCCCTCAGACCCCGACCCCCTCAGACCCCAACCCCTCAGACCCCATCCCCCCTCAGACCCCGACCCCCTCAGACCCCAACCCCCTCAGACCCCAACCCCCTCAGACCCCATCCCCCCTCAGACCCCATCCCCCCTCAGACCCCGACCCCCTCAGACCCCATCCCCCTCAGACCCCGACCCCCTCAGACCCCAACCCCCTCAGACCCCGACCCCCTCAGACCCCGACCCCCTCAGACCCCATCCCCCCTCAGACCCCGACCCCCTCAGACCCCAACCCCCTCAGACCCCATCCCCCCTCAGACCCCGACCCCCTCAGACCCCAACCCCCCTCAGACCCCATCCCCCCTCAGACCCCGACCCCCTCAGACCCCATCCTCTTCTCAGACCTCGAGGGCTCCTCGGACCCTGACCCCCCTGACTCCTCCTCAGACCCCTCCTCGTATCTTCTCTTTCCCTCAGACCCCGACCCCCTCAGACCCCATCCCCCCTCAGACCCCGACCCTGCGCAGACCCCGACCCTCCGCAGACCCCATCTTCAGCCCCCGCCCCGGCCCCGCCCTCTCCCGCGGTGCGCGGGCTCCATCCAGCGTCTGCCTGGCGCGCTGCGGCGGCCGCGGCGGGGTCCGGGATAACCGCGGCCACAGCCCCCGCCCGGGTGGAGACCCTCACACACCCGTCCGCTTCCTGCTCTGCCGAGTCCCGCAGGCCGCGGAGGGGCTGCCGGGCGGGGATTCCCGCGTCCCCGGCGTGGTCCCTTTAAGGAGGCGGCGGGCGCGCCTTGCATTAGCATATCTTAGCATATATTAGCCTGGCTCCGCCCCAGGGCGGGCCAGTCGCGCGGGGTGCTGAGAGCCGGGCGCGGGGCGCGGGCGCGGAGCGGGGGTCGGGCGCGCAGCCTCTCCCGCAGCCGGGGCCCTCGAGCGGGATGGGGCGCCGCGCCGCCCGCGGTCCCGGCCCGCCCGCGCCGTTGCTGCCGCCGCCGCCGCCGCCGCTGCTGCCGCTGCTGCCGCTGCTGCTGCTGCTGCTGGGAGGCCGCGGCGGCCGCTCGGCGCCCGCGCCCCGCGCGGAGGACCTCAGCCTGGGAGCGGTGAGTGCGCGGCGGGAGCGCGGCGGGCCCTGGTCCTGCGCCCGTGCCCCGGGCTGGGCCGCCGAAGCGCGCGCGGGGCGGTCTCGTGCCGGGTGGCCGTCGCCCGCGGGTCCCGCGTGGGCACAGCCTGAGCGGGCTGCGCGCGGGGGCGCCTCTGCCGGTGCCGCCGAGCTCCGCCGCCCCCCGGACCCGCTCGGTCCAGCCCTGGGCCCTTCCCACGCGCCGCTGGCTGCGCGGGCGGCGGCCCCGAGGCTGGGCTCAGACGTGGTGGTCTCGGGCTCTGCACCGGGGGGCGCCGAATCCAGGTCGCAGCCGGGAGCTCGGAGCGGGCGCCGCGGTGGCTTCGTGGACCCCGTGTCCGCGTGGCTTGGCCCGCAGGGTCCGGAGGGCACCGCACGCCGGCACCTGGGGGCCCCTACATCGGGCCGTCTGTGGCGCGGAACCCGGGTCACCCCAGCCGGAGCCCCCGCCAGCCGAGTGGGCTGCTGAGCCGCGGCGCGCGGGAACTTCCTCGCCGCCCGCCCGCCCGCCGCGGGAGAGGGGCCGGCGCAGACCCGCGCCCCGCCGGCCTCGGGCGCCCCGGCCACCCCTCCCTCGGCCCGGGCGTGCGGCGAGGTGCAGCCGCCCGCGGGCCCCGGGACGGCGGCTCAGCGGCCGCTGCTCCCGAGCGGCGGTGCCGGGCGCCCTCTGCCGGCCGTCGGGAGCGCGCGCGAGCGGCAAGCAGGGTCCCGAGACCGGGGCGAGGGCTCCCGTGCGCCCCGCCCCGCTGCCCTGGGGCCGCTGCCTCCGGCCGGCCCGGGAGGAGAAGGGCCCCTTTGTGAGTGCGGCCGGCCTCTGCGGGTAGCAGCCCACCCCGGGAGCCGCGCACAAAGCCTGGATTGAGGCCTCCCGCCGGGAGGGGTGGGGGGTGGGGGGCTTCCAGGAGGCGCTGGACAAAGCCCCTCGCTGGGCCTTGAGCCGCCGGCCTCCAGTTTGCTGAGCCTGCGGTGCCTGAGTTGGAAGGGGTCCGAAAGGGGCTGCCTCCCCTCTTGGCCCTGAGCGCCTCCCGGGCGTGCACAGCAGGAGGAGGGCGTATGGGGTCCCTGTTCCCACGCAGATGGTGCCGGCTGCCCACTGTCTGTGCTCTCCCAAGCTTCTGTCCTGGCCACATCCACCCGAAGCTGGAGCCGCCTGGTCTCCCGGTCACCACGTCGCACTCCACTGCCCAGCGGCCACCTCATGGGGCCTGGCCCAGGCGAGGACGGAGGGTCGTTCCCAATAGCGTGGGGACCAGGAGCCCTGGTCACAGCCGGGCAGCGAGCGTGAGGGATCCGGGTCTGGATGGGACCCCCGGGGCAGGGGCAGGTGACATGGGGGTGAGCCGTCTTCTAAAGTTCCCAGCAACGCCATCTGGGCAGGCGCCAGGGCTCCTACGACCCCCACCCAGAGGTGAGATCGGGCTGGCCGTGCAGGGGTGGCCTTGGAGGCCCGAGGGCGTGCGCGGGGCCAGAGAGTGGTGGCTGGAGCACCTGAGGGCGCCTGGTGGCCCCCTCCCGGGTCACCCTCCTCATCCTGTCCTCCGTGGCCGCCTGTGGGTCCTTCAGCCCTCAGGAACAGCACCCAGGCAAAGCTGAGCCCCCGTGCACCCCCTGAGGAAATCAGCCGCGAGCCCTGGACTGAAACTGAGTGTCCGCGAGTCCCTGGCTCCGTGGTCCCTCCATGGCTGTCCTGGTGGCTTCAGAAGTGTCCTGCCCCCGACCCCAGGCAGCAGGTCTGAGTGCCAGGGCTCGGTCCCCCGGGTGGAGCACGGAGCCCTGAGAAGAGGCTGGCGCGGCTTGCTGGGCCGTGCTCCTGAGGCTCGTGCCGGGCTGGTGCGGAGGGGTTTGGGGGGTCTCGGCAAAGCAGGGTGCTGCCCACCATGGGGCCTCCCTGGGGGGTTTCCAGGGGTGCTCTGGGGATGCCTGTCTGTGGATGGTGGATCTCAGCTTCCCGTAAGACTCGACTGGGGGCCGTGGGTGTGGGTGTGGGGTGTGTGCCGGGCACACTGCCCACACGCACTGCGAGCCTGCTGACCACCCTCCCTGGCAGTGGTGGGGCACAGGGTGGTCTGGGCAGGGCCTGCTCCTTTCCTGGCCCCAGGGTCCACACCACCTGGACGCCTGCTTCTCCCACCCCCACCCGTGCGCCAGGTCACCGGCTTCTTCCTGTTGCCTGGGCATCCCAGGCTGCTCCTGCCTCCCGGCCCTTGCACTCGCTGTTCTTTGTGCTGCTTCTCTTCCTGTGTCTGC